TAGGGGTAGAGCAGGAGCTGGGAATAGCTGTGGATGGAGACGAAGGCCTTGATGTTGCCGTGGCTCTTCACAAAGTCCACGATGGATTTCACCTCGGGCTCCGAGTTGGCGTAGGGGCCGTGGTACGTCTCCGTGCAGGGGTTGGAGCTGGCCCCGGCCTCTGTGGAGGAGAGGGTGGTGAAAACTGGGAATTTGGGGATTTCTGAGCCCAGGAGGTTTTCCCACCCCTCAGCTGCTTGGTGGTGATTTAGGAATGCTCCTGGCGCTCCCACTAGGGATTTATGGGGTGATTTTCATTTGTCAGTCAAAGCCCTGGTGGAGCCCCAACCGTCATCTCTGCCATGGAGCACCAATCCCACCTCCTCCCAGGGGACATCAATGGGACTTTGAGCCAGAAAGAACCTTAGAGAGTGGAAATGCCCCACAGGGACAACAGGGGAGCTCTGACCTCCAAAACCAGCGTCCCAGTTGCGGTTGGGATCCACTCCGACGCAGATGGAGCCCGAGTGCTTGGACCTGGTCTTGCGCCACATGCGGTTCTGGAAGGGCAGAGCCACCTCAGCCGGTGCCCGGGGCTCGTGGTGGTCCCATCCCCACCCCATTGACCTCTCAGGGATGTGCAGCACCCCAAAATTCTGCTCCTTAACCCCACCCAGGGGAGTCAGGGAGAGGAAATTCAGGGCGGTACCTTGGTCTGGGTGAAGGCAAAGCCGTCGGGGTTGGTGACAATCTCCAGGAAAATGTCCATGGTCTCCAGGATGGAGGCCACTCCTTCATTATTGGCGTGGTCCTGGACGATCTAGAGAGGGTGGAGGGTTGGAGCTGCTTGTCCTCTCTGCCACCTGGACCCAGCAGTGCCACCACCCACGTGGTGGCCCTTTGGGGACAGAATCTATGTCAGGGACATGGTGGTACCTTCTTGGCGAACCAGACGCCGCTGGCCTGCGTCACCCACTCGCGGGAGTGGATCCCGGTGTCGATCCACACAGCCGGGCGGTTCGAGCCCCCAGTGCTGAACTGGGAGAGCAGAGAGTGGTGTTTGGCTTTGTCCCTGCCACCTTTCCCCCCTCAGGCCACCCCAGACCCCAAATCCTCACCTTGAGCACGTAGAGGGGCCGGTTCTCGGTGGAGCGGCCGATCTCCAGTTTGCTCACCAGGTTGGGGTTCTCGGCCACCAACATGTCCATGAAATTGTAGATCTGGGGGAGAGGGACGTGGGGGTCACTCCCAGCTCACCCCTGCTGCATGTGGGCTTTGCAAGAACCAACATTTTCCCTAAAAATGCCCCAAATCTTGTGCTCTCCCACCTCGTCCAGGGTGTGGTAGGCCTCGTAGTTGAAGGTGTTGGTGGTGAGCGGCAGCTGGCGGCTGCTGCGGAGCATCTCCGTCCGTTCTTCATCCACCAGGGCCTGCGGGAC